CCCCCCTCTATTCCGGCGCCTTATTCCGTCAAATGTGATTACATCATCAACTATTAGTCATACGCGAAATAAGAAATAGATAACTTTAAGCATCCCACGTATAAGATTATTATTAGATTATTTCCAGAGTCAAATTTAATGTCTGTGTCTTATCACCGTGCGAATGCGGAGCCCAGCGACTTTCCAATTTCTTAATGTATTGCGCATGTTGTAACACCATGAACTTTGCGTCTTAGTCCCGTGAGAACGGATGTGCATAATCCGTCTCTCACCGGACACCGAAAACGGAAGAACACTAACCGCGACTAGACTTGTCAGTGTTCTTACCGAAAAACCGCTGACCAGCACTTTGCGAGAAACGCGGAGAAGAACCGGTGAGCGCGGGTCCCTTTCTAAAGGGGAATACTTAGCGTACCTCCCCCGTTCTCGCAAGGTATCGGATTATGTGGTCAATACTAGTTTTCATATCGCCATAAAAGTAAGTCTCGCTACATATATTCAGCGTCTTGCTAAGCGTGCGTACAACCTCGAGCGTGTCTCCATTGTACAGCGTTGCCATCTCGAATAGCTTTCCTAATAAACTTCTTCATTGATTATATTTTATAATATATCTTCATTATTTTTTTCCCTTCCCATTTCCTCTCTCTCTCTCTTTTACACACACACACACACACACACACACATACACCAATCCCGATAATCAGTGCGAAAACACCCCATAAGGGTTAGCTTACGGAAACGTAGCTCGACCACGAAAACAACTCAGCACGGTGGAGCCGCTCCCGTCATGCGTGTCGCAGAACCTCGCGGGGGAATGTGACAATATTATAAAAATATTTATATAATCAAATAATAATCGACTGAAGAATTTTGTGATAATTATTATTAATATTACAGCAAATATATTTTATCTCTACGATCTCATTTATATAATGTTTTGTGCAATAAAACATTCGAGACACAGTTACACATATATGGCTACTTGCTTCTTTATGTTTCGCTTCTTTGTGTATTGTTCTTTTGTATCTTGTTTTTTTGTATGTTATTCCTTTACACTACACGCCTTATTCCCAAAATACTACGATATATTCGGAGCCAGGTCTGACAGATCCGTTGAAATCTTAATAATTAGAAATATTGCAACTTCGCGCGCGCGCATTGAAAGGATAGGTGAATAACTAGACCAGCAATCTCTGCGTTACCGTCTGGACGCGCGCGCCTCACGTATAGACAACCCGTCATAATGAGTTGTATGTTATTGCAACACCCTGTACATGTCGCTGCAAATCGCCAATGTGACAGATTTCCTAATCTAACGCGCCGTCAACTTTGTCGGCTAATATCTCGCTACTCGGTGCAGAGCGACGATTTTGACAGATAAAAAGTTATTTCTCGTGTAAAAACGCATCGATTGAGCCTACTTTTATCGAAATTGGAAGTAAGGACCTTTGACTGAATAATTACCGCCTACAGTTTTACGCAAAGAAAATCTGCTTAGCTCACGTTTCACCTCAAAGACAATCCAGAATTCTTTAAACATATTAAGAGTGGGCTGATCAATGAAGCTCGTAACAATTCGCGTGAAACTTTTAACTTTTCGTCATTCCGAGAAAAGTTATATCCATAGACATAATATATCTAGATAGAGCGTTTCCCTTCATTTAAGGAGTGGGAGTAAGAGTACGTAGAAAAGGATGCATTGCATTTTGAGACCCTGCGTTCTTTCTCATTCGCGCGTATATAAGGGCCCTCATACATGAAAGGTTACGCGACATTATGCCGAAAACTAGATGGGGAATATGTTGGTACCAAAGAAAACCCCTGGGTAGCAGAACATTAAATCTGTGAATTGGCAACACTATTGAAGTTGTAAACCTCCATGTGTTCGCGGATAAGCAATGGCGTAGGGACACTAAAGTTAGGTGCTCCCAGCCACATATTGAAGTCTTGAATGAGTTCGCGGAGTCTTTTGACATATACGTGTGTACATATATATAAAGTAATAAACAGTGTAGAACGAAAGTACACAGAGACATTTAATTAAAATTAAAAAATAAGTAAATAAATAAAAATAACACGAATAAATAAAAATAAAGTGCATAGAGAAGAATAAGGTGAAAAATATAAGAAGATCCTCTTATATTTTTCACCTTATTCTTCTCTATGCATTTTATTTTTATTTAGCTGCCATATTAATGCTTGATACTCAATACTCGATGCTTATTGGTCCATACAGTCTTATGCTATGTACATGCAGTTATGTCATTTCATGTGTGAGGGCCCTAAGCGTATACGTAAGGAAGGTTGTGTTCCAGAGATGCGCGAATGAGAGAGAACGCAGGATCTCAAAACGCAATGTATCCTTCCTACGTGCCTCTTACCCGCACTCCTCAACGCTCGGTCTAGATATATTATGTCTATGGTTATATCAAAGAGAAACCTGAGAGCGGCCACACGATACGTTCTGGCCATAGACTTAGTATATATAGACTGCATACTAGGCTAAGTAGGCATCACAGAATAGAAAGAGGTAACATGCTTTGGATCACCATTCTATGTTTTTCTAATGACACGTGATGAGAACACTCGGGAGCGTCTCAATTGACCACGGTACGATTGGACACAACTAACCGATGAAAAGAATTATCTAGTGAATTACCAGGACGAACCAATCATTACAATCTATGTCCAATCGTATCGTTGTCAATCGGGTCCCACCCGGAACACTTCAGTCTCTCCTTAAGTTTAGAGTGAGGGTTTACATTGGTTCTACAGTATGTTTCCCTCGAAGCGTCGAACCTTTATTACACACATAAAATACTTTATACACAACTGTTAAATGTTTATAAAACATTTTATTATCACAATATATCGATAATTATTCTAATACGTTCTTCTTCTTATCCCCACTATGCGTCGTTAGAAAAAGATAGAATGTTGATCCAAAGCATGCTATCTTTTTCTGTGACGCGTTCAGCTATAAGAAATATTGAGGACACGCAGCTTATTTATAATAAGTCTATGGTTCTGGCCGACACCGATTTTTACGCTGTTCGATACGCCATCTGCACCCTTTTTTAGGTGGAACTACGTTCTCTACGCTCATTTTCAGACGCTGCCGATAAAGTGTCGATTTGTTGCGTGCCCATTCTACGCCCATTTTCTGACGATTCGTGTCCGTGCTAAGCGCATAATTGCGTGGTTAAGAACATGGACCATAGAAGGAGGAGGGCGTACTAGATGGCGCCGTGCGTTCAAGATCTGCGTATCTTTTTCCAGAGAGAGAAAAATATCGAAAGCGCGGTTTTGCTAGGACTCGAACGTTACCTAGTGAAGATAACGTTAATGATCCGCATGTATTAACAGTGCTAGCAATGATAAACTTGAATCCTCATATTTTGACTAGAGAAC